GTGATGCTGTCTGACCCATTCAGACATCACTTTTAGTATAACAAATAATTTTTCAATTTAATTTGTTAAACTTTTCCTGTTTTCATTGCGACTGGGGTGTTGGAGTCTTAAAAAAGTTCCCTTTTCTGTTTCTTTATGTCATATACAGTTGATTTTCCCATACCATATTCCTTGAGATTTTGAGACGGATTATTCACTTTTTTTCCCAGCAATTCCACTCTTTGTTTAATGGACCGCAAGACATGCTCTCGCTTTGTAGATTTTGTTTCAGCTCCAGAATTATTTCAACATAATCAAAAGTTCAAACTTTAATTTTCATAAAAGTGCTGTAATAACAGCCTGCAAAAAATAATGAGCTGGATCAATTCAGAAAGTTAAAAAACAGCACAATCTGCTGTATTAACTAAAATTCCTAGGAATCGGTAAAGTATAATTTTAGTCTAGCTTAATAGCATCCGCTATACATTATTAGCTATGTATTGTGAGATTGGCGATGTAGGACAAGTTGTTCTGCTAAATTTTGTCTTGCTTCTATCATTCACTGAGACAATTAAGCTTGAATTGTATTAGTTTAGTTATTTATTATACTTACGTCTATTTCTTGCACATGCTTAATGCTTATTCGAGTTCTGAATAAATAAATTTCCACATATACTTAAGGCTTATTGAGGGCCAGCGCTAGATATCTTACCGCCTGATGCAGTATCTGTGGGTCATAAATTCTACTACCAGGTGCCTTCCTAAGTTCTAAATTTTGGGTGTCAGTGTTTTCCTTAAATTCTAAAAAATTTATTATCCCTTAATTTTGTTGCTTTTCTTGGTGCTTTTCTAAATTCCAAAAATTTTGTCTTCTCTAAATTCGGCCATACAAGCCCTGGCGCCGGTTCTGGGTTTATGTAAATAACAAATCAGTTATTCTTAATTCAAATAGCAGTAAATGTAATTGTTTGGCCTGTGGGTATAATGAAGAAGATCTACTTTTAGCATATGAAAAAAATTTTTGCTTAATTTTTCCTCGTCAACATTTCTTAGCGATTTAACTTTAACCATCGCCAGGCGTAATGTCAATATAAAAGGTTATCATACTCTTTGTTATTCAATTACTAGTAAAATCAACAATGTTTCTATGTAGAATGTAGTTTCAGATGTATGCCAAGAAGATATGCAGCTACTTAGCCAAATTTATTGATCGTGCAAATTTATGCTAAAATAATTGTTTTTTCAATAATGAGGTATTTTATTTAGTGCCGAAGTGAAATTTAGAATCAAGAGTCTCCACATGTTTTATTATAGGAAGGAAAAATAATCAAGTGCGCATGCGTAAAGCATACCCCCTTTAAAAAATATTTTCTTTAAAAAATAAACTTTAAAGATATTCTAAAAATCAATCAAAAATTCAATAAAATGGTCAGTTTTTTTTTTAAAAACATTTACTCTTAAATTCCAAAAATAATTTAATCGTAACTGTACTCAAAAAATAGATAATTTTAAAAGATACTCCAGTTTCAGCACTGGAGTTATTTATGGAATAACACATCGGGCAAATGGCCTTACGGCTTTGCTGGCGCATACGCACCCTTTCGTCGAAATTTTTCGTGACACTTTCTGCATAACTTTGGCTGAATTTCATTGATGCAGCGTTTAATTTCCTCTTGTAATGCACATGCAGTTGTTAGATTGTTGACATAGACCTTTAACTTCAAATACTCTTATAAGAAGAAATGCCATGGTGTTAAATCACACGATCTAGGGGGCCAATTCTGATCACCAAAAGGAGAGATTACACGATCAGGAAATATGTCATGCAGTAATTGAATTGTTTCATTGGCTGTATGGCATGTGGCACCGTCTTGTTGAAACCACATATTGGCCACATCAATAGTATCCAATTTCGGCAGAAAGAACTGTGTTATAATGTTGCGATATCGAGCACCATTAACAGTTACTGCTTGACCAGTCTCATTCTCAAAAAGTATGATCCGATGGTGCCTCCTGCCCAAAATCCACACCAAACAGTGACACATTGTGGGTGCATTTTTTCGGTAATCACACGTGTGTTCTCCGAACCCCAAACACGGCAATTTTGAAGATTAATAAAGCCATCGAGGTGAAAACGTGCTTCATCGCTTAGGATTATTTTCCTCTAAAAACTAGCATCCACTTTTTGATGATTAATAATCGATTCACAAACTCTCTTCGCTGTTCATGGTCATTAGGCTTCAGTTGTTGTGTTATTGAATATTGTAAGCATGAAGGCACAGATCTTTTGTGAATATACGCTGTAGAGAGCTTTATGAAATATGCAATTCTTGTCCACAACGCCGAATTGATGTTCCTGGGTTTTCACAGACATTCTCACGCACTGCTTCAATATTGACATTTGAATGGCTTGTTTTTTGACGACCAGTGTGTTTAGCATCTCCAACCAGTCTCCACGAATTTTTCAATTAGCCTTTTCACAGTTGACGAGGTTAAAACACTATTTTTACCATATTTTGTATAAAATTTTTGAACTGCGGCCGCCAAACTTTCATTATTTAAAAAATATTGTTCAATAATGAAGACATGTTGTTGTATCGTATAATGCTCCATTTTCACTAATCCTAAACTCTTGGCTTTCAAACTGTTCTTTTTTCAGGGTTGCCAACAACTTAATGCAAAAATAGGTGCCAAATTCAAATCTTGTGTTAATTTTGGGACACCCTTTGCATACAGATTGCTCAAAAATTTCTCCAGCAGCACATAAAACTGCATCATACTTCATTCGGATAAGTTCTGGACCACAAGATCTTATAATTGGAGATGCATATTCGAAACAAAATCATGTGCAAAATCACAACCAGTTTTCAAGACAGGTGTAGTTGAAATGTATGGTGTATCAGTGTAGTTCTTGCTTTTGATCACGATTAGACTCCATCAAATAAAGTATTCAGAGAGGCCTAATAATCGCAAATTTCAGCTAAAGTTAAAACCAACTTTATTAGCCATTTGAGAAAAAAAAGAAAAAAGAAAACACATTTTGCAAGAGGCTAAATATTTAAACATTAGAACAAATCGGCACTAGACATTAGTAGTGAGCAGGTTAAATAGGTGAGTAGTGATGTAAGTCTCTGCGAAAAAGGTTTTATCCTCGAGCTGTGGTGAGTGCATATGCATATTGTGCAGCAAAGATGAATGTTTCCACTCACTGCTTTGAGGATTTCCACCATAAACCTGTTTTGGGTTCAAACTTCGATGAACATGATGGCTACATAGTTGTTTTTGTGGTTTTCTCAAAGTATAACATAAATATAAGCAAGATTTCCTCAGTCCTTCACAAAGGCATCCTCTTAAGAGAGAATCCTCGAATTTTCAATGATCAGATAATCTTTTCTGCTTATAAACGTAATTATTTAGAACTGCTGTTATGCTCCTTCTCTCCTACTAATTAATGAAATGCAAAATAATTTTCAATAAATAGCAGCAGTAAATAAAAAAGTATAAACACACAAAATTACGACTATTTATTTTTAAGGAAGTTATAAATAAATCTCACCAAAATAATTTACTTATTTTCAAAGTACTCATCAGTAATTGAATGGGTGGTAAGCTCATTTTAGGTCCAGTTTCTTATAATTTAATAAATCCTGCTTTGTGATTTACCCATGCATAATAAATTACAAGTTAGTTATTTGAAAATTGGGTACTTACTTTACTGTTAATAAGATGCTATTTAGTGCCAAACATAAATGTTGGCAGGAAATTTAACTAATATTACATAATATTTGAAAAAATTAACTTTTAATGACATTAATGTATCATATGGTAATTTAATGTGCACTGTGTCGAAACCATACAAAACCTTGGCATTTTTCGCATTAAATATTGCATGACTATTAATGATGTAATATAAACGAACTGCAACATTTGCTGGCTGGTGCCTCTTTAGCAGAAATGTACCAAAAATTCTTTCAATGAAGTTATTCCTTTTGTTACGGAGATAGCCCCTTGATTGTTTTACCAGAATTAGTAAATCATCCATTCATTGTTGTATATGAAATTTCAGAACTCTTTGTTCGCACATCTATTACTAATCCATTATAAATTGTATTGTAAAGTAAAAATGAGCAAAAATTGTTGGTGTATATTTCCCTAGCGTGCCTTCGTGGTGTAATGGTAGCACGCTGGGCCGGTATTCCAGAGGTCCATGGTTCAATTCCCGGCGAAGGTGGTTGCATATTTTTCATCTTTTCTGCTTCCAGTTAACCTAATGACTCTACAAAGTGGCGCCCGGACTAAAAGGGTTGTGAACGATGATTCTCTGCCCCCAGGATTTGGTGACTAGGTCCCCTAAAAACCCTAGTCACCCTTTAAAAAGGGGAGTATATAAGGTATTTCTCCCACTTCCCTAGCGTGCCTTCGTGGTGTAACGGTAGCATGCTGAGCCGGTATTCCAGAGGTCCGTGGTTCGATTCCCGGCGAAGGCGGTTGCATATTTTTCATCTTTTTTGCTTCCAGTTAATGACTCTACAGGTGAATGTGGTATTTTTTGGAATGCTAACCAGACACATTTTATTTCTGTTTACACTAAAACTTGAACACAAAGAAAATTTAAATTGCTAGCGTAAACTTCTTATATATGCTGGTACGAATTTCTTCTTTCCATATGAAAATATTGTGATTTTATAATGCCTATGTAGTAAAAAAAATCAGTTTATCTCTGTTTCTTTCAGTTTTAGCTAATGATCAAATTTTAGTATCTTTTCTCTGATCTGATTAATTCCAACAGAAAATAATACTACTGTTACTGAAGTGATCATGTTTTTAAATTCTTTAATGAAAAAATTGGCAAGTTATATCTCTTAAAATAACGCAGGATACTGAGCAGATGTCTATTTTTATGCTGTGAACATTCATCGAAATATGCATTACATACTTAATATAGTGTTTTGATTTTATGTAGATTTATTGCTTTACATTTATAATATATATATATATTAATGTACAAATTCTTTTTCCAGGCAGCTGTTTGGCATGCACTAAATCATTATGCTTATGAAGATGCAATTTTTATAGCAGAGAGACTATTTGCAGAAGGTAAAAATTTGAATCCTTTTTGCTTCATACTATTTTTTGCAAGTTTACTAGTTTGTATTAATAAGTAACACCCATAAACTATGTTCTGATTTATCTGTACTTACACATGTGTATATAAAATTTTTTTTTTTAAACTAGTGGATTCAGACGATACATTGTATCTCTTAGCTACATGTTACTATCGAGCTGGAAGAATTGGTGCAGCATATTCTGTATTAAAACGTAAAGGCTGTCGCAGTTCTCAGTGTCGCTTCTTATATGCTAGGTGTTGTGTTGACCTTAAAAAGTAAAGATATTTTCTCCCTTTTTTCTCTGATAATAACATTTCTCTCTCAAATACTACAAGATAATTTTTTTTATTATATTGAGAAATTTATTTATCTCAGATCTGCATAATTAGTGTTTTTCCATTTCAAGATGTTAAAAAAAATGTATTGTTTTCCTGAGAATGATTTTGTAAGATGTCTTAACAGAATATTTTAGGTAGAAAATGGGGTTAAGACATCAATATCTGAATGAAAAAAAAAAAATATAGTGTGTATTTTTGTAAAACGTTTTTCAGTTTTATTTGCAAAATTTAAGTTTTAATTAAGCTCATTAATGACTTTTTCTTTTTTTAATTATTATCATTGAACATATTTTTTATTTGCCGATGAAGCCATTATGTCAAGCTTTCTTGGTTATGAGAACAACAGTTCCTGGGAATTTTCATAACACTTAATTATTATAAAAGAGAAAAAATGTACAAGGTGCTGATAGGTATCAAGGGATCTGGTATCGAGGGATCTGGTATCAAGCACTCACAAGCCTGCAATTCTTGCACATTGTGAGGGGGTTAGCATGGCAGCATGAATTTGGTTTTCCAGGTGAGACCACAAATGCTGTATTGGATTAATGTGAGCTGAATTTGGAGGCCAAGACATGACTTGAAAGTCACTGGAATGTTCCTCGAACCACTCCCTTGACAATTCAACTCTTATGACATGGTGCATTATCTGCATTATCGTGGTGATAAACACTATTCCCCGCCGGAAATATTGTTATCATGATTGGGTGAACTAGGTCTGCAACAATGTTCACGTAGTGCACGGACATCAGGGATTCTTCTATAGCGATTACGGGTCCTAATGTACACAACAAATGTGGTAAAAGCAACTAGGTCTGCAACAATGTTCACGTAGTGCACGGACATCAGGGATTCTTCTATAGCGATTACGGGTCCTAATGTGCACAACAAATGTGCATCTGAAAGCCAGGGTTTTGTTTGGAAATTGGGGTATTAGCACATGCCCATTGATGTGATGGACCAGAAACCGTGATTCGTCGAATCATGCAGCTTTCTTCCATTCTCCTAATGTCCAATTCCAAAGTTTCTTGGCCCTATTGCAGACGCAGCTGGTGATGATTTGCCATCATTGCAGGGACATGCTTCGGCCTCCCGCTGCGTAGGCCCATACGCAGAAATGTACACTGCACAGTGTGTTGAGAAATACGGTCTGGGTCACCACTCTTGTAGAGTTGGTGGTGATTTTGGCTGTTCTAGCTCTGGTCACGGTGAACAATGCGTATCAGTCTCCGCTCTCCTCTGGAATCAATGCGCCATCGACAACACGTTGCTGACTGGTGACTTGTCATTTCACCATCCATATGCCACTTTCGATATGAGCTCACAGCAACTGCACATTAACAGTCCACTAAATGCGCTGTTTCTGATATTGATGCTCCCAGTTATCGAACCATAACAATTTTACCTTTATCAAAGTCTTATAACTTAGCTGCTTTTGCCATTATGTTGCTAATCACCCTATGTTTGGTAAGACAATGCATAGCCGCTTTATATACTCCAACATCAGTCGAACATGTGCAGTGGTTTTGTTTCTGGGCAAGCCCGTTGTTATAGATGGAGGGTCAAGGTTGCCACTCTACTTGGAAAACCAGAAAAGTCAGGGAATTTGAAAATTAACCAAAATAGTCAGAGAATTTAAGTATTTTAGTCAAAATCTGGAAAAGTCAGGGAATTTCTTACAGCGACACCCCTTTGGAAAAAAAAGCGAGTTTTGCACCAACGTTGGAAGCAATCACTTTCTTGGGGAATTACGTATCACATGAGTGTCCTTCAGGCAGCTGGCGTAAAGCCAATTTTCTGTGACATGCATGTTGAGCTAAAGAAAATACCTTCCCGTTCTCGTATAAAACAAAATCTGTTTATTCCTACTATAGCGTACCATGGAGGTTAGAATAGCCTCTATGTACTACTTTATTCTAACCTCCATGTGTGGTACACACGGATTTGGCGACATTATGATGGTTGGCGACAATTTTCAAAATCGTGCCAAGGCCGTAGCATATACTAAGATTTTACTGCAAAATCTCTTAAGTCTTTTTATTTCTTTTTAATAAATGTAAATAATAATTTTAATAATTATTTGTGATTTTGCAGTAATATTAATAATAATAATAATAAAAAAAGTCATCTAGGCTAACCATTTAATACAACTAACTATATTTGCCAAAATTTCATTGATTATTGTAATTCAGTTTTTAAGTAATTAACTTTATTTAATGTTATTCTTATCATTTAATGTTGCTTCTTCCCTTTAAATTTAGTTGTTATTAGTTAATAATACTTTCAAATACCTGGCATAATCCTGAAACTAATTCTAGTAGTATGATGACATACTACCGCGAAATTTAATAAACATACATTTTGCTCATCTATGTTACTACATAAATATAAAATACTTGAATTTATTTTAAAATTTCATTAAATTCATATCTTTCTTTTGTTTAGTTGCAAAATGTCTGCAAAAAAAGGCATTTTTAAATCAGATTGGGCAGATTCTATTCTCAGTCTTCAGTGGAGAAAAACAACTCCTATATTATGTTAAAACCAAAAATTTTCAAATAAGCAATACCCCAATTCAAAATATTAAAGAAATTTAAAGAAAAAGTGAAATAATAAAATACTTCAAAAGTACATCATATTTGCACAAAATATGAAATTGAAAATTTGAACTTTGAGGTGCATATGTTTGGATACAGGATTACCCATGCCACCATTTTTCCACAATGTGAGAACATGCATGCATACAGATTCTTCATTATTTTATAATAGAGATGAAGCTTTTAAAAATGAAAAATATTTCAATAACAGAAACAAATATTACTATGTTTTGCTCTCAGGATAACTTTAAGATCATATACCAATCAATGATACACTTGCACACACCAATGACATTTTTGCATAATGAGTTATGATGAAAATTAAGCATTCTTTTTTCGTAATAGGACAGGAGGAGATATGGTACAAGTAAATGGTGTAGAATTGGCCAGTGGAAGTGCAGCTATAAGGTTCTTTTATTCTAGAGTTTAATTGAAAAATCAATTTTTTAAATTAATTTTTGTTTGAATATTTAAAAAAATACACTAGGTTAATTTTTACAATAACAGGATGAGCACAAAAGTAAGCCTAATAAAATTGTTTGGTTTATCTAGCAAAGCTAAAATTTAAGCAGCTCGTGTGTTTAAATAGGATGTGCAATTTGTACTGTACAATAAAATTTCTGCAGCAATATTTCTTTTAATTATCTATAAGCGGTTTGTTTGTTGTCTTTTGAAATACAGGTACTATAAATGTATGGAATAAAATTTATTTTTTTTATGCTATTAGTATAAAATATTTTATAGGTTTTCTGAAGCAGAGTTTTCCATAGCTGGAAATTCAATAGCAAAGACTAAAAGTCTAGATGAAATTGTCAATGAATTTGGAGATTTCTCTTCATTTGCTATTCAGTTGCTAGGTCATATATGTTATAAAACATCGAGACTTGGTAAAGCAGCTGAAGCTTACAGGTTTGTGCTCAATTTTGAATTTTGATAATTGATGTAATGAGTTAAAAAATAAATTAAATATAAGGATTTGTAACTCAAAATATCAGTTACTGCAAGTAGATCATTTTGCATAGCTTTGTTTTCTTTTTAAATTTATGTTTAGTAAAATAGTATTTTTTGATAATTTTAATATTTTTCTTTGCTTCCCAATTTATAATATCATTTCTAATATTTTTGAATTGTACATCACTAGAAAGGAAAACAACTTTATCAGGTTTAAAAGTACATAATAAGAGTCGAGTATTCTGAGGTTATTTGCAGGAAAAGAACATTTTAATCTGAGCTATGGTTTCATGGATTTGTCTTTAAATAATCTCTCTATATGAGCAGGAAGAAATTAACAGTTTTATATAATTAATAATACATAGCAACACAGATTTCATACACTGAACAAATTCTAAATTCAGCTAAATTTTGAATTTCAAGTATTTCTGAAAGCCATCAAAACTGACTCGGGAAACCATATTAATATCATGTTGCTAGACTTCTGGAACTGTTTCCTGGTGCCTTTTATTTTAATATTACATCCAAAAGGGTGTTTTGTTTTTACCATTTTGTGTGTTACCTTGTTCTTTGCACTTAAAACACATTAAATTCAATTCAACAGCAATATCACAAAATATTTAAAAGCAGCATATCTACACAGTCTCGCACACTGGAGATAAAAATGTTTTTTTTTCTGTACAGTGTTGCCATTGCTCGCTTTGAAATCGTTGAGTTTGTTAATAAAAAATTCATTAAAGTTTTTAAAAATTTTAAATACGTAATAAAAAAATTCAAAATTTGGGCTTTGAATGGCTCATCTTCGTTTAAGGACTTCCTTCCTCAGTTGCACGACAACCTGGGTGGGCCCTGGCCTTCTCAATGATTTTCTTCCTGGCCTTTCTTTTCTTGGCCATGGTCTTCCACTTAATTATTCTTAAAGTGACGAGGTTCCCTTTCAGGTAATCAACCCATCTGAGTTCTTCCAGTGGGCTTGGCCAGGAATATTTTCTGCATTGTGTGCTCCTTAATTAGTGTGGCCAGCCCATTTAATCCATTAAATTTTTATGTATTTCATGACATCGGGTTCTTTGTAGGTACGGTAAAGTTCTAAATTTGAGCATCTGTGCCAAACACCATCAACTTGTATTCATCAAAAAATAGCTCTTAGTAGCTGCCGCTCAAAGATACCAAGGGCATTTTCATCATTTTGTGTCATTGTCCAAGTTTCTGAAGAGTATGTGAGTATAGGTCTGATTAGACATTTATAAATTAATGACTTTTTCTTTTAATTAAATTTGATTTTAAATATTTCTTTAATACGTGAAAGCATCTATTGACAGCTTTAATTCTCCTCTGTACTTCAGGTGTGATGTTGGTATTAATGTTAAGCTCAGAGCCCAGATATATAAAGCTATGAACTTCCTCAAATTTATAAGTATATATTTGCAGGTGAGTAGGAGTCCCTTGTGCATTGCATGTGTTTAGCTTTTTCCTGGTTTATAGTAAGGTGCATTTTACCTGCCTCTCTTTCCAGGGTCAGAAATGAGAAAGGAAGTTTTAATTTCTGAATCACTCATACAGTATCTGAAATATGCGATAGCCCCATATGCTTTAAGACTTCTGTCCGAAAATAAGTGAAGGCTGATATTCATTGGATCATCATCAAAGAAATTCCATTGTATCGATATTTCAGTGAAATCACAAAGTTCATCCCACCAAATGTTAAATTTATCCTTAATCTCTGCAGGTAGGACCTCATCCCAGTTAGCATTGGAACACCAGATTTCTTGAATAATGATTTTTGCCCGAATAATGAAGTGTGCAATAAATCGAAATGGATCATATATTTGGCTGATACTTTGTAAAACTTTCCTTTTTGTAGTTATATTGTTTTCAGTAGAAAAGTCAATTCAATTTTTTAAATTTAACATTATATTGTCCTCAATGGAATTCCAGTTCATGCCCAAAAAATTTTATTCACTAGTTAATTTGTTATCTGATTTCTCTAGCTTATTTAACCCTCTCAGCGTTACAGCCGGAAAATTCCGCATAGAAGGCATCCTTCTATATTCATTATACATAAAAATTTCTGCTAGTTTTTAATGTATCTGATTTCGGTTTGGATGTATATTGGAAGGAAAGGAATCAAGGTGCAAAATGAGAGAGTCATTTTTTTAATTAAAATCAAGAAAATACCACTTATTCATGACATTTTGAAGAACTTTGAAATTTCAGGGTTAAACCCATAAGGCTCGGAGGGTTATGACCCATAAATCATTTAATGCTTTAGAATTAGTACTTAATTTTCTGAAATTCATCCCAGCATCCTTTAAATATGTTAACCATATCTACAGATAACCGATATGCATCTTCAAATGTTTCCTGCTCCAAATATAGGTCATCGACATAGACAGAAGAATTTAACATTCAAAACTGTCCGGCATTTTATCTTTATATTTTCCAAATGTGATATTTTATAGGCAGCAGCCAAAATGAAAGGTGATATAATCAAACTGAAGGTACGCGACACATGTTGCATAATCTTAAAAGGAGTCATTATTTTAAAGAAATTTTAAAGAAATTTTCGCAAATTGTCTATCACCTTCAGCAATTCCTATCATCAAAAAGGCCTTTTTCAACGTCTCCACAAAATGCTATCTTAAACTTACGAAAATTTAACATAATGTCTAGTATATTTGGATTTAGATTAGGTCCCGATTCAAGGCAGTCATTTGAACGAATTCGTGTTCCTGTGTCCTTGAGCTAGCATCGTACACAATTCTTACCTTAGTAGTTTCACTAGGTCGTATCACTGCTCGGTGTGGCATAAATATCCCAAATTTGTATCATTATTCAGGACATTCCTCCACAATTCCTTCTAATATCTGGTTTTCAATTATTTTTTTATATTCCTGAAAAATCTCCTGGAGTTTTACTTAGTTTATTTTGAAGGTTTGCAAATCGTTTCTTAGCTACCTTAAAATTATTTTCCTAGATTATTCGGACTGTATTTCCAGATTAAATTTTCTGCATATCTTCTACCATTTTTAAACTGCAAATTTCTTTCAAACTGGTCTATTTTTTCGCAGTCAATATCGGAATAATAATCAGAATCATTAATTCCCCAAAACCTCTTAAATCCTTTCAATACAACAGTGTTTGTCATTACCGCTAAATTTTCAGAACAATTTTTATTTGTTTTATTTTTCTCGATTCCTGCAGCCACCAACCAAACCACAACAGAACTGACTGCGTACACCCCTTCAGATATTTTCGTACTTTGTGAATAAACTACATTCCAGAATTCATCCCTGCCAATTAATATCTCAACATCTGTGTTATTTTTACCAGAGCAGTCAGGGATCTGCAACTCTAAATGCTCCATGAAGTCTGTAATTTGCTTACTAGGTATATTGATGGGTGCCAAGGAAATAACATCCGAGACCAAACATTAAATTTTTAGTCCAAAGGGGCTTTTTTGTCCTGAAGGACTATTGTTTTCGTTTTGCGATTTTGCGTTAAATCGTTATAAATGTCCGTTTCACTTTTCAAACTGTTGCTACCAAATTTTAGAGTCCTGCGTTATATTTGAAGAAATTAAATAATTAAAAATCTGCATAAATGTACGTATAATTCTTGCATTGTGATAAAACAACAGTACATAGAGCCATCGAATTTCGAATGACATAATCCTCCTACGAATATGGGCATGTGGAAGACCAAATTTGGAATTTGTTTTATTATCAATTTCATATTTTGTAAAACTTTAACGAATTTTTGATTAAAAAACTCAAGGATTTCAAAGTGAGCAATGGCAACGTTCTACACGGGGGGGGGGGGGGGGGCGACCTTTTTATCTCCAGCTTGTGGAACTGTGTATCGGAAATTCTAAAGATATGCTCATTTTAAAATTATTTTGCGACATTGCTGTTGAACGGAATTTTATGGTTTAAGTGCAAAGAACATGATATTTAATAAATAAAGGTAACACACAAAACATTAAAAAAAAAAAAAAAAAAAAAAAAAAAAAACACCTTTGGATGTAATTTAAAATCTGAAACCTTTTAGATTTTTGTATATATTTATTTTAATTTTATTATTTGGTTTCCAGTTTTAAATTTCAGTTTCAACTACCAGATAGGAATGATTCATTGCCTTGGTTGCACCAAATGAATAAACGAGTCTTTCATAACGGATTGGAATAAGTTTTAAATAATCGGCTAATTTTTTCGTTATAAAGGATCTTTGACTACTTTGATCAAGAATTAATCTAGTTACTTGTGATTTATATTTACAACAAACATTATTTACCTGGCATTACAGTCATTATTATTACATTGAGGAACAGAATCAATCAATTTTAAGTTTTGAACTTTATTTCTTTCCTCATAATTGAGAGTCAGATATTCGGTTTCATTTTCAGGTGTTGGTGGTGTATTTAATTATGGCAAAGCACACGAGGGCTATCTGCCTAAAGGGAGGGATGCCTTTCGTGGAGGACTTTCTAAGGGAAACTGGCTCGTATACACGTTACACATGGGGAAAACCATGAAAACGCCCATGCAGCCAGCCCGTTCGCGGGATTCGAACCTCAGACCGAACTACCAGTGTTCAGCGTCTTTACCGCTCGGCCGCTGGTGGGCCGGTTTCATTTTCAGAATAACTTTGTTCTGACTTTTTATTTACATGGGATTTATTAGTACAAATCGATTCATTGTGATACATTCTACCTCATTTAATTTCTACACTGTTTTGATGTATGAAATGTTTTTAAAAAACAAGAATAGCAGTGATTTTTGGATCTTAGTTTAAGATCTTAGATCTTTAATTTATCAAAAACATTTACTTAACATTTAAATGACTTGTGCAAATTATCACAGAAGATGCATTTTCGGTTAACTGCAGTATTAAATGCTGCCGTGGCTGTATTTTTTACATATTTTTTAGTTTCATATTTTAATTGATTGAATCGCTGA